AATGTCTTATAAATACTGTAAATTTTTATTTTAAAATCAGTTGTAATTATATTAAATAAAGTGCTATTACTCTGTTATTTCTTTAAAAGGGCCTTTTTTAAAAAGTACCTTCGGGAGTGACGACCCTTAAGTCACTCCTCGTGTCTTGTAGAGCAGTTTTAGGTTGCCTATCTGTTATATTAATTTTTATCTATAGGATTGCGACTTTTTTGCCATATGCGCCTGGCTCTTTTTTGTAGAAGACGTTTTATGTATACGAGTATGTTGGTGTCACTCTGTTCTTTGTCACTCTGAGGGTGCAGCTATTTCAACAGCTGCGCTCTATGAACAGGCGTCAAAAAGTTAACTAGAAAAAATATACGACACAGTAAATAAAAACAATTTGCAATTTACTATTTCTATTGAGAATAAGCCACAACTTTACCTTAAAACAAGTTTGTTTTGACGTTTCGATTTCTATTTCGGAAGTCATTCTCAAATTACAACTACATTTTTTTTTTATTAAATTTGCAAATTTACAATCTGCTATTACAAGCTATTAGTAAATTTGATTATTGCAAATACATGAGAGGAGAAATTATCCATTGATAACACTCCCAATACTAACACTAACAAATTAAATTAATGTATGATTATAATTTAAAACTAAAATTGAGATGAAAAGTAAAATTAAAATTGAAATTAGTGTATAAAGTCTGTTTGCCACTGTCTCTTCAATCTTCGTCTGACTTCTGGTTGGAGGTGTAGTTGTCTTGCTTCCTCGTTGGGGTGGGTTGGCAGATGTTCTAAATAATTTCTTGTTAGTCTGCTAATTTCGTCTTCAACGAACGGTATACCGGAGTCTTCATGCAGTGTTTTGTTACTAACGTACCACGGCGCGTTGAATATCATTCTGAGTATTTTGGATTGGATTCTCTAAATGATTTGCTTTCTAAGTGAGCTTTTGATCAAATGTCATTCCCAGGTATTTGACTCCTGTTTTTACTGGTAGTAGTATATTATGTACATTATGTTTAACTTTGATTTTCCATCTATTCATCCAGTCTTGTACTAGGTTCAGGTGTATTTGAAGGTTTCCTGATGCTACTTGTGGGTCATTATCGATGGATATTATGGCGGTGTCATCTGCGAACATGGCTACTGTGGTCGTATTTGTTGTTGGGATATCAGCAGTGTATATGAGGTACAGGAGGGGACCCAGGACACTTCCTTGAGGGACACCGGATTTTATGGGATAGTAATGAGAGGTTTCTGTAAGGAATTTGACTTGAAAGTAACGTTCTGTGAGGTATGATTTTAAAAGAAGATAGTGAGGGGTGGGAAAGGATGACTTAAGTTTATATAGGAGGCCGTCATGCCAAACACGGTCGAAGGCTTGTTCTATATCCAGGAAGGCAGCAGTGCAAATTTTTTTCTCTTCGAGGCATACATTAATGTTTTTTACAATCCTATGGCACTGTTGTAGAGTTGAATGGGCTTCGCGGAAACCAAACTGGTGGTTTGGGATCACTGAATTAATTTCGATGTCTTCTGAGATTCTTTGGAGCAGAAGTCTTTCAAAGATTTTTGACATTATTGGAAGTAAGCTGATTGGTCTATATGAAGTAATATTTTTTGGTGGTTTACTTGGTTTACTTATCATAATTATTTGTGCAAACTTCCAATTAATCGGGTAGTAGGTTAATCTTATAATACTATTATATATCATTGTTAGTAGGACAATTGCTTTTCTCGGTAATTTTTTTAATATTAGCCCGGTGATCATGTCGAAGCCTGGTGCTTTGTAGTTATTGCATCTAGAAATTTGTTCTTTTACATTATTAGGAGTAAAGAATTTAATTGGTAGCATCATTGGGCATGGAGTGTCTAAAAAGTTTTTAACTTGTTCTTTGTCATTGTGATTATTAAGTTCAGGTGCACCAAAAACGTGTGAGAGATGTGCAGCAAAGATTGATGCCTTTTCTTGTTCAGTTTTTCCCCAGCTTCCATCGTCTTTCCTTAGAGGTGGTATGTGCTGTGTAGGCCTCTTGAATGATTTCGTTGCTTTCCAGATGCTGTGGTCTTCTTTTCACAGGCTGTCGATGAATAGTTCAAATGTATCATTCCTCGCGTCTTGTAGAGCAGTTTTAAGTTGCCGTGTTAATCTATTGTATTCATTTTTGTCTATAGGATTGCGACTTCTTTGCCATATGCGCCTGGCTCTTCTTTTTTGTGCTACAAGACGTTTTATATACACGGGTATATTGGTGTTACTTGGTTCTTTGTCATTCTGAGGGGGTGTAGCTATTTCTGCAGCTGCATGTATAGTTTGGGTGAGAATAAGCACAGCGTTATCGATATCGTCTGGTTGCTTTAATCTTATATTTAAATTTAAATTTTCATTTATGTAAGACTCGAATACATTCCAGTTGGTCTTTAATGTTGTTAACTTAGGGATATGCGGACGTTTTATAATTTGCGTAGATAGTGTTACAATTATGGGAGTATGGTCGGTGGACAGATCCCAGGATGGTTGTATGTCAAAATAATTTAATAAGGCCATGTTATGAAGGATAAAGAAGTCGAGTAGATCTGGGATTTTGTTTGGATCTGATGGCCAGTAGGTGGGTTGCCCTGTAGATAAGTAAGAGCTGTTTCTATTAGCTATGGCTTGCCTAAGATTTCTTCCCTTTGTCGTACATAGTCTCGACCCCCAGTCTGTATGCTTGGCATTTCAGTCACCTCCAATCAAGAATTTGTTTGATAGCTGTTTAAAGAAGTCTTCATATTCTGCTGTGGAGATATTATGCCTTGGAGGGCTGTACATTGCCGCGATGTTAAAAGACTGTGGTTGAGAACTGATACATATTACTGCAGCTTGTATTTTTTCCGTCTGATACATTGTTTCCTCATAGTGTGGTATCGTGTTACGTATAATAATAGCAGCGCCACCGTGTGCTGTTCCATCAGGATGGTTGGTGTTGTAAATAGAGTAATGAGGGATCTTGAACATCGTTCTGTCAGTGAAATGGGTTTCCGATATGAGTAGAACATCAATTTTGTTATGTTAAAGAAAGTTAGTAACTTCTGTGTTATGGTTGCCTAGGCCGTTGGCATTCCATTGTGCAATTCGTAGTGACTTAAGTTCCATTACTGAGTTTATTTATTACTGTGGAAAGCATGTTTAAGATCACGCTATTTTGATTTATTAGTTGTGAAAACATAGATTTGAATTCGTTAAGGAAACTCTTCATCATCTCTCCAATGTCATTGTGTGTATTGCTTCCATGTGTTCCACTTGTTACTTGAGCGTAAGTTGCTTGATTTTGGTTGTATGAGTTCGTATTATTATGGACATTATTTACATTTGTTCCACCTGTTGCTTGTGTGTAAGTCGCGTGATTTTGATTGCTTAAGTTCGGATTATTCTGTACTGTATTTCTGTTATATGGCAGTTGATTGTTCGCTGGAGTGTGCGATGATATTCCTCTTGCTCTGTTTCTACTGCTAATTAACTCTTTATATACTAGGCATCCTTTGTAATTTGCAGTGTGTGCTCCATTGCAGAGAGCGCATATGGCAGGTGTGTTCCTAGGTTTTTTACAATCGGCTGACATATGGTTGCCTCCACATTTGACACAGTGATAAGGTCTATTACAGTATGTCTTAGAGTGTCCATACAATTGGCATCTGGTACACTGGACAATATTATTCTTTTTATACGGTGGCTCAATAACTATTTTCGCGTTGTTTATAAATTGAATTTCATATATTTTTTTATTATTTTGATTAGGTTCTATATCGACGTAGAACATCATTAGAGGGTCCTTACTTACTCTGTGTTTTATATTTACAATATTGCGTACTAAATGCCCATGTTTTTCTATTTTAGTTTTTATTATATTAATGGGCACTGTATGATGTAGATTACGAATTACAACTCTGTATGCTCTATCCTCTTTCATCTGGTACGTATGATGCACAATTTTTTTGCTGTTTAAATGTCTTACTAGTTTTCGGTATGTTTCAGAGTCCCGGAATTTATTTTTATTGTGTTGTTTTTTAATGCTGTACAATAGAATGTCTCTGTTTTTGCTACTTCCGATAGATTATTAACCATTTTATTGTATTCAGTAACACCATATATAAAAATTGGTGGGGGTTTATTGGTTGCTGGAGTTTTGTTGGTATTTTCTGTACTGTTATTGTTGTCGTTTTCGTTTTCATTTTGTAGAATCTGAAATTTATTGCTGGTTACTACCGTGTCTTCGTTTTCTGTTGGTGTCGGAGGATTAATTTTACGTTTTTTGTTACTATGTTGTATAGTTTGCCATTCGTGGATATCCGATGACTCAATGTCGCTGATTTCCTCTGAAGATTCTTCACTTTGTAATGTATGTGTCATCTCAATAGAATCATAAGCTTCATTTTGAGGTGTAGATAATGTGGGATTTATTGTAGGATTGTATTGACAGTTTGAGGAAGATTGTAATAGTACTTGGTTAGGAACATAATATATTGTTGTTGGTGGATTGTTTAAAATTTGTGCTGAATTTGGTTGTGAATTTTGTGCAAAAAGGACATTTTAATCATTTTACTCATTTTAATTGTTAAAACTGTATATTTTAATTTTTAAATAGTTTATAAATAGTATATTCACTTGATACACGATAATGACGGTAAAAACGCGGCCGGAGCCCGTTTTTAATCACACTGTAAACTTTCGCCTAATTTGTATCGATGCGATGTTTGCAGGTCGAGAGTCAAATAACTACAACATTAATAAATTAAACAACCTTTGTTTTGTTACTTGATAATAAATTCCTCTAATGACATATCAAAAACGAAATTGTGTCTTTAAATTTTATGGCTAAATTTGGTTTCAAAAAAGCGACCTAGATCAAAAAACATTACATTGTTTATAATGTATCTTAACCATAGTTTCTGGAAGTAAAAAAAACTTTAAAGATCACCTTTAAAGAGTATTTACTATTTAGTTAATATAATACGTATATTTTCAGCCCTATCGGAGAAGTATTTAGAGCAAGATTACGACAATTTCCGGCTTTAGTCAACAACTGTACCATAGACTGGTTTAGCCCTTGGCCTGACACCGCATTGCAAGTAAGTGTTAACTATTATCCGTTCACAAATTGTTGAGAGCACGAAATGTGCCTCAAAGTCATAAAACGGTCGTAAAATTTGTATCATCGTAGGCGTTCCTGAGGATTAAAATTAATGCATTTTACATTTATTTTCCTTTCCAAAATGTTTATCAATATTAATAATGTTTTATTACTAATATATTTAGCAAAAAACAATCAAAACTTTCACGGCTAATGTTGGGTATTATATTATATTAATTAAAATAAGAATTTAACCATTAACAATTTTGTAAATTAGAATACCTTATTTCTTTGGATATTTCAATACTAATCTTTGCGTTTATTCACTTTACTAGAAAACCTGAAATTCATATCCAAAGGTACTACTCGTTGCAAGATAATTAGGATGGAATTCCCCAGATTTTTAATAATATAATGGGTATAAAGATACCGGCTTTGGCTACGTGCCTCGTCTGTTCAGTTTATATTCGAAACTTAACTTGAAAGGGTGAAGTTATTACGAACGAAAACAATTTTTTTGTTTAGTACGTTTTTGATCGCATGTAATTTACGGCTCATCGGTATTTCTGCGTCTATGGCAGTAATTAGCGTCTCGAATATTTCTTTTGCGAATTTTATGCACTGCGTGTGTGATTTTATATTCCATATACCTACGAACATATACGTAGCTTTCGCTCGTGCTCGTTTTGTTGGATTGTTTGTGATGGCTTCATCATCAACATCATCAAGTTTTACACCGGTACTGTTGCGTACAGTCAGTAAGTCTCTCTATTCACCAAGAGAGAAGACTATTGTCCTGAATGTTCACGATGCTCTGGTTTCTCAGAATCCCACAAACACTGTTCGCAATATAGTCGAAAGTTGTGCCAACATGACTGGCGTAGGGGAGTCAACTATAAATAGGTTCCTATCAGAAAGAAAAAAACTCAGTATAGCTAACCCAAACACAATCGGACCCCTAAAGAGAGGGAAAAAGCCTATTGAAATTTATGAATTTGTCCAAAATGGTATTCGAAGGAAAATTCATGGATTTTTTTTTCAAAAAAGAAATACCACACCTAAACAAAATTTTACAAGAAGTTAGAGACGACCCAGATTTGCTTCATATCGGACGAGCTAAATTGTGGCAATTTTTAAAAGAGTTGAATTTCCAGTGGGAGAAATCAGACCGAAAATCACTTTTGATTGACCGGGAGGAGATAATATGTTGGAGAAGAAATTATCTAAGATCCATATGAAAATTCAAGGCTGAATGAATGAATGAACTGACGGCTTCTGCTAGGATGAAACGTGGGTAAACTCAGGTCATACTCCAAAAAAAATTGGTCAGATAAAAATATATTAAGCTCCAGGCAAGCCTTTAAGGAAGGTTGGTCTACTGGTATCTCCCCGCCTTCTGGTAAAGGCAGTAAATTAATAATTTCTCATATTGGCAGTGAAAAAGGATTTGTTAAGCATGGTTTGTTGGAATTTCAATCCCAAAGCACAAAAGACTATCACGAGGAGATGACAGCTAATGTTTTCGAAGAGTATTTTGAGCAGATGATTGAACACATACTACCAAATTTAATTATAGTATAAGATAATGCACCTTATCCTTCACGTCTATTAGAAAGACTTTCAACGACTGAGTGGAAGAAACAGGATATTCTTAACTGGTTGCGGAATAAGTATCTGCCTTACGAAGATGGAATAGTAGAAGCAGAACTTTTAAAAATTGCCCGATAATACAAATCTAAGTTAAAAAAGACGTAGTTGACAAAATGGCGGAAAGGCGAAACATCACAGTCCTTAGACTTCCACCCTATCACTGCAAAATCAATCCAATTTAAATCCAAAGCATTAGGGCACAAATGAAAAGTTATGTGGCTAGAAAAAATACGTCATATAAAATACAAGCTGAACGTGAATTGTTATACGAGTCTTTACAACATATTACAGAACAAAACTGGAAAGATGCAGTAAGACATGTAATAGAAGATGAACAAAAAATGTGGGATCTTGATAACATATTGTCTACGACAAACAGTGCGAGAAGAAATAAACACCAGCCTCAGTGTAGCAGAAAGCTTAAACCCGGAGAACAGACAACATAGGTGAAAAACTTAAGTATATAAATATTATAATAAGAACTACGGGAAAGAAACACCTAACCAAATCTGCAAAGAAACATAAGGTGTGGATGACACCAGACATTCTAGAACTAATGGATGAAAGACGTAAAATGAAGAATAATGCAGAAAAATACAAAGAGGTTGATAAGAGCATAAAGCAAAGAATAAGAAATGCCAAAGAATCATGGATTACCAGAACAATGTGTAGAAATGGAAAACTATGAAAGAAAGTATGACACGTTCAAAATACATAAAAAAGTAAGAGAAATTACAGGAACTCAAAGAAGACGTCAAATAAGTTTACTTAAGAACAAAGATGGAAAGATTATTATAGATTTAACAGAGAAAATTAATAGATGGAGTGAATACATAAGAGAATTATTTGAGGACAACAGAAATAACATTGTTCTGATATATGGCGAAACGGGACCTGAAATTCTAAAATGTGAAGTAGAAATGGCACTTAAAAATTCCAAAACTGGGAAGGCAAATGGACCGGATGAGGTTCCTACCGAATTGCTAAAGCTCTTGAATGATGAATCAATAGGTATAATATTGCACTTATTTAATACAATATACAATACTGGCATTATACCTCAAGAGTGGCTGTTGTCTACATTCGTTACACTGCCAAAGAAATCTAATGCTAAAGAATGTTCAGAACATCGAACAATATCTTTAATAAGCCACCTACTAAAGATATTTCTAAAAATCATCCACAACCGAGTTTATCAAAAGTTGGAGTAAGATATTAGTAATACACAGATGGGGTTCAGAAAAGGGCTTGGTGCTCGAGAAGCTCTCTTCGGTTTGAATGTTCTCACACAAAGATGCCTAGACGTTAATCAGGAGGTACATACGTGTTTTATCGATTTTGAAAAAGCGTTTGACAGAGTACGCCATGATAAGCTTAGAGAGATTCAAATCATGAATGTGTTGCTTGTGTAAGTCCATTTCAAATAAGTAAAGAAATAATAAATAAGACTTACTCACAATCAATTTAATTTAACTATCAGACGACCGGTTTCGCTTTCTACAATATGCAAAGTATCCTCAGGTCTCGATACAAAGTTAAACAAATGATGCCGGTACTCTATTAATAGATGGATGGTAGAACATGGTTGAAACTACTTTATATTGTTAAATGGAGAACTCAATTCTATCACTGCAGTTGTTTGACAGTAAACGGGAAGTTCTTGAGGAGATAGATTTGATCCAATGAATTAGAGATATGTGTGAGATTGTTTGTTAAATGTAAGTGATGTAATATACTATTGTGTTATTAAAGGCTATTTATACTTATTCCAGAGATATATTTTTAAAATGTGTGTTATTTATTGAGTAATTGTTTTTTGAAGGTGACAGTTTTATGACAATGAATAGGTGTAGATGTAAAGATTGTGTGGGTGTGCAATTATTTTCACAACTTGTAGTTATCAAATTACTTTGATAAAGTTCTATTGGCAATGAGTTAATTATTGAAATAGTCAAGTAAATAAAATGTTAAAATACAGACAATTAAGGACAATTTAAACACACTAAAACAGAAAACACTTAGAAGGGACGAAACAAACATTGAATTTAAAAGGGAGGAAGGACTTTAATGCACTACGTCATAGTCTTGGGCACAATGAGTTATTTTATGTTGTATCCATTAGATTTTAGAGGTAAATTTTAAAAATTTAAAAATTTTAAAAATGTTTGTTTCGTCCCTTCTAAGTGTTTTCTGTTTTAGTGTGTTTAAATTGTCCTTAATTGTCTGTATTTTAACATTTTATTTACTTGACTATTCCAATAATTAACTCATTGCCAATAGAACTTTATCAAAGTAATTTGATAACTACAAGTTGTGAAAATAATTGCACACCCACACAATCTTTACATCTACACCTATTCATTGTCATAAAACTGTTACCTTCAAAAAACAATTACTCAAGAAATAACACACATTTCAAAAATATATCTCTGGAATAAGTATAAATAGCCTTTAATAACACACTAGTATATTACATCACTAACATTTAACAAACAATCTCACACATATCTCTAATTCATTGGATCAAATCTATCTCCTCAAGAACTTCCCGTTTACTGTCAAACAACTGCAGTGATAGAATTGAGTTCTCCATTCAACAATATAAAGTAGTTTCAACCATGTTTTACCATCCATCTATTAATTGAGTACCGGCATTATTTGTTTAACTTTGTATCGAGACCTGAAGATGCTTTGCATATTGTAGAAAGCGAAACCGGTCGTCTGTTAGTTAAATTAAATTGATTGTGAGTAAGTCTTATTTATTATTTCTTTACCTACTTAGAGAGATTCTTGAAAGGAAGGACATAAATAATAAAGATCTGCGAATAATTCTCCATCTATATTGGAATCAGAAAGCTAACATCAAAATAGAAACTGAAACATCACAAGCAATAGAAATACGTAGAGGAGTACGACAGGGTTGCATTTTGTCACCTCTGTTATTTAATGTATATAGTGAAAGCATCTGTCAGGAAGCCCTTTTACAAGCAAACGGAGGAATCGTACTTAATGGAGAGATTGTAAATAATATTCGATACGCGGACGACACTGTACTAGTTGCAAGAACAGTAGAAGAATTACAAAGATTACTTACAGACATAAATATTGCTTGCAACAATTATGGTATAAATATCAATATTAAAAAAACCAAGTATATGGTCTTCAGTGAAAACATGATACAACCAGCGTATATTAGTATAAACGGTACTCAAGTTGAAAAAGTATCAAGTTACAAATACTTGGGAACTTTAATAAACGAAACTGGAGACCAAAACAGTGAAATAAACAGACGTATCGAAATTGCCAGGGCCACCTTCATAAAGATGAGAAAATTCTTCTGCAACAGAA